CGACATCACAACAACCACCATTACTACCAACTACCACCATTTCCACAACAACAGCCATTACAACAACCATCAGTAACCACAATTACCACCAACATTGTCACCCAAAAATATTACAACCACCATAATACCATCAACCAACAAACATTTCTACCACCACAACCACCATAATACCATCAACCAACAAACATTTCTACCACCACAACAACCATTACAAAATAATATTATTTGTACTAGTATCTGTATTTCTTATTATCACAAATATTTCTTCTCGTTATTTTTATCATCATCACCTTTTACAAATATACGATTATCAATTTCCTCAATTATTATATTCTGTCGTCTCATCCTCACTTTGTTTACATAATGGTTGTATCAGCTGTTAGTCTTAATGTCGAAAAGAGCGCCCGAACAGGGACTCGAACCCTGGACCCTTAGGTTAAAAGCCTAATGCTCTACCGACTGAGCTATCCGGGCTATGCATGGCCGCTTCCTTATATCTTATTTATTAACTTATACAACATCATTTGGTTTATAATAGTGTGTCTGTGTGTGTGTGTGTGTGTGTGTGTGTGTCTGTGTGAAATATAGATTTATGTGATGTGTGTGTGTGTGAAATATAGATTTATGTGATGTGTGTGTGTGAAATATAGATTTTTATGTGTGTGTGTTTGTGTGTGTGTGTGAGAGAAATATAGATTTATGTGATGTGTGTGTGTGTGTGTGTGTGTGAAATATAGATTTATGTGATGTGTGTGTGTGAGAAATATAGATTTATGTGATGTGTGTGTGTGTGAAATATAGATTTATGTGATGTGTGTGTGTGTGAAATATAGATTTTTATGTGTGTGTGTTTGTGTGTGTGTGTGTGTATAATATAGATTTATGTGCATGTGGTGTGTGTGTGTGTGTGTGTGTGTGTAGGTAGTAGGCAGCTACCAAACAGGGAGGTACTACCGCCTGGGAAGATATTGGAAGCATAATGTATTGCCTAATGGTAGACCCTGCTGCCATATGGCATCACAAAACTTGTGACCAAGTCCCAGGTTGCTGATCTGACTTTCTGCCTCATTTACACACAATTGCAGGGCCTTGTTTCTCTTACCATTGACAACACAACATACAGTACATATATTGTTTCTCACTCTTGATTTCTTGTTTTAATTTTTGTATTTCTTTATGGTTCTGTATTATTATTATTACAATTATAATTGCTTTATTATTATTATTATTATTGTTATTATTTTTATTTAGTTTTTATTTTTTATTATAAATTTTACTTATCTGAATTATTATTATTACATTTTCGCCTCCCAGGCCCTGATGTGGGTCAGTGACCTGTGCCCGGGTGGGCTAATCCCATAAAAAAATTATAATATATATATATATATATATATATATATATATATATATATATATATATATATATATATATATATATATATATATATAGTATATTTCTGTGTATGTGTCCTGTGCTCCTCATCTACATACAATTTACACATTATGTTCTTGGTGAGGTGAGAGGAAGTACTTGTAGACGGCCTATTGTCATGACCCATTTATTAGGGCCTATTGTCATGAGATCCCATCACACACACACACACACATATATATATATATATATATATATATATATATATATATATATATATATATATATATATATATATATATATATATATATTATAAAATATAAAATAGTTTAAGTGGTGGCTGACAGACAGTGAGAGGAAGGGAGAGAGGGGGAGGGGATAGGAACATAAACAATAACAGACATACATAAAGATTCACAGTTAAACATCAGAACAATCAACAATAAATAAAGGCGAGAAAATATCACGAAGAGAGAGAGAGAGAGAGAGAGAGAGAAAGAGAGAGGCCGAATGAATGTGAGTGCTACAGCACTTGAGACACCCCTGACAAATGAGACTCAGAAACCAAACTCCACTAATACAATGTTTGTAAGAATTAACTACAACATTTTCTACCGCGTACAACACATATAAACGAAGGTGATGGCGTAACAACCTCAGTTACAAAGGTTACAGCCATGACGGGGTCTCTGCTATTCTCACCCCAACAACAAACTGAAGGGGTGATACAGTGGTGCCGGCAATGTCGAGCCCAATTGTGAGAATCTCGTTCCCATCGTTGTATTGATCAATATCCCGACCCTTCTCGATTGCGAAGGACAATAGAACCATTATAAGAGGGTTCCTGAATTGGCAGTGCGTCACACAAATCAATAAACAACCAACAAAGACAAGGGTGAGCTTTTCCCAGCACCACAGAGTTGGCAACGTCGCGTGCGATTCAGAGCTCGCTGTTGCTAACCCGTAGTGTCCGAACACGGCACTGGTGACGACTTTAACTTTACTAAAATACAAACAAATTCAACACATTCAAAACTACATATAAACTAGAATATCCCCAATAACACTACACATTATATATTTTAGTTTTTGTAGCACATACTGTAAATCGTGTTGATAAAAACTTATAAAAATCAAATTATGAAGTAGAATTGAGAGACGGGGTAAACGCGTACACAGAGTCACGTATCCTCTGCACCCCCAAGGTCTGTCGTATTCCCTGTTAATATATGACCTGCGACCAGCCAATTTTACCTTAAGAGGGCCTGCTTACGGGCTAATGCGTATAAACCAATAAAAACAACTCCTATGGCATCACTACAAATGGACTAACAACACTACATTTGACCACATGGAGAGAGAGAGAGGCAGAGAGAGAAAGGAGGGAGACAGGGAGAGGGGGAGATAAAAGGAACGGAGAGATATACACAGAGAGAGAGAGAGGGGGAGAGAGAGAGAGATACAGAAAGAAAGAGTGAGAGGAGAAAGGGAGAGAAAATGTCGCGTATCTCAGCACACCTCACCTTTAAACACTAAAAATACGAGTTAGTTAAGATAAAAATTATTACTTTGATCAAGATGAACAACAACTTGAGAATAGCGATATCATAATCTTTCCTTGGTTCACGGGGAAGATGTTTGAAGTGTAACTATGTACAAGTATTTGGAAACTATGCGTGTGTGACAGACAGTGCGCCAAGTGGTAAAATGACAACATGTATTTAATAACAAAAAGAAATAACTCCAGAGACACATGAAGATAGTAATAATAAAATTCTGCTCATTGGATATCTCCCGTTAAAAGATAATTATGGGGGACGTCGACTTTTACAAAATCACAGAAAAAATAGCAGAAATTATATTCCTATTCGTTGTATCAAGAGATAAATTTGGTAATATTCTCGGAAAGTTTCATGGACACAGCAGAGCTAGTTAGTTTTCAATCGTGATAGTTGAATGTGTTTTTTTTTTCATTAATATTTTACTATGAGTTTGACGCTGAGCTGATGTGGCTCCCATATATGGTAGCCACAACCATATGTCAGGGTATGATAACTCCTCATAATCCACTACAGGAAATACAGTATTGGAAACAGTTACAGAACTTTAACCTATACCTTATATATATCAAACTATACGTTTATGTTATTCCAGAGTTGATTATTGGTTAAATATAATTGAAATAGATGGAAATATTAACAAAAGTGTAATAGTTGTTCTTCAGGCAACAAGGAGCGGGTTCCGTGACGCATGGACTGGCATCACCGACGGTGTACTGGAGGGTCGGCCGACCGTGGGGCCTTAACAAAAACAAAGACAACTTTACGAATTTCGACGATTTTACTCTTATATATTATCCTATCACTACAAAACTATAATACCCCTTCACATTTTTCCCCCCAGATCACAGTGGCGTTAGTGAAATAGATATTGTTGTTGCGTATGTAGAAAAAGAAATAATTTAAGAGTTGCCTGATACCTCGACCCAAAGCTAGGTGTTGTGGGTCTGCAGCGCCGCCCTATCTTGCTACTATTCCCTTCAGTAATTCCAAATCAACATACTAATAATAAAACAATACACCGACACTATAATATACTAAATAAAAACTTAATAAACATCTTGTATACTCTTTAAAATAATCTGGTATATGGATAATTTTTTCGTGTTTTTTTTTATAATATACAAGATAGTAAACTGGTCATTCATCTGAAAAAAAATTAATTACATTATTTCTTTGGAACTTGTAAAGACGTATATACAAGTTAATGAATATTTTGTTTATATGGGGATTACGCACGCGCGCGCACACACACACATACGCCAACACTAATAACAAATAAGGAAATAATTACAAAGTCGGTGAAAATAATGATAAAAATAATACTAATAAATCAAAGGTAAACATCTTCTCATTTTGATATTTATAAAAGTTTATGTTGCAGAAATTATCACATAGCGAGCCGTGCTTAATAACCGTATGTAAGGCCAAGTGAACGTAGCTTAATAACCGTCGTAGGTAATTCACATCAAATAAACAACAACACAACTCAAAATAACCCCAAACTGTTGTGAAAGATCAATATCACATCACACATACAGTTAGGTTATACGCGTTTCCTATAAATTCTCCATAACAACAAATAATGACTCGAGAAATATAAAACATTACGAAGGTTTTAGAATGTCACAGTTACGCGTTGTTTGGCTTAAGTGTCTCCAACGAGAGGACAAGAGTGGAGTTTCCTTCATAAAACAGGCTTAAAGTCGGACCATTGCAGCTTTCTAGTGAAACTCTGGAGAAACTTGCTTTACCGAGAAGTTTAATCACATGGAAGGCTCTTATACTCCATACTCTCCTTCTTAACTTAATGTTAGGATGTAGGAGGAGTTAGTCTAAGCTCGGCACGGGAGATATTTGGCACTTTAGGGGACTCCTGGGCTGTATAGTCGTCAGAATCGTTCTTTGTTAGACTCCTGGCTTGGCGTCCATGTTTGTGCGAGAAGCCGTTCTTTGTTTAGAAAATGGCTGCCAGAACGAGTCACGTGACGGGAAACGAAGCCCCGCGCGCGCTGATTGGCTGGCGGGATGACGTCACTCAGTGAAAGCCAACAACACGCTCACTCGCTCCCGATCTCCAGTCAGAGGAGAGACACAAGACAAGGAGGATGTGCCGAGTAGCGTGACGCTCACTACCGATAAAACCCCGTCCAAGGACAGACATAGACTGTGATGTTAGTGAAAGGTTTACCATCCTAATAGTCAGTGTAACGACGGCCAATACCAAAGAATATAAAAATCGCCATCCTCCTTTCCGGCTGTGTCGACAAGTGCCAGATTTACTAGTCCACGTCTGTTGATTAGCAAGAGACAAAAGCCAGCTGCGTCACCAAGACTTGCCAATAATTCAAGTCAAGTGTTTATGACGTATTGCCCAAGTTTGCCATCAACCTGTTGATCTCCAAATATCTCCACGAATATGAGATTAGAGATTAAATCGGCGGCCAATTTCCTTGTTGATTTGGCTCGCCTAAACAACAGCGGTTTGACAGAGAAGCAGCTGGAGAAGTTCCGTGGAAATGTGTGTGATATCCTGCTGCGACACTACACCGACCACTGGTTCCCCGACAAGCCGTTCAAGGGCTCCGGTTACCGTTGCATCAGAATCAACGGCAACTTGGACCCACTGATCGCGAGGGCGGGCTTCATGATGGGCCTGGCAGTCTCTTTCCTGAGATCTCTCTTCCCCAAGGAGCTCACCATGTGGGTGGACCCTATGGAGGTGGCCTACCGCATCGGGGAGAACGGCTCCATCTGTGTGTTGTACGAGGAATTACCTCCTCCACCACGCAAGTCCACACCACCCCCGCCCGCCGAGATCAAGACCCCCGTGAAGGCAATGTCGCAGCCCCCACCTCAGCAGACTTCGTCCCCACCTCCAGCTCTGCCTCCCCACCACCACATCCACCAACAACAAATCAGTCACCATCATCACCATCACTTCTCGCCGTCCAAGTCCGTCGTGGTGTCGTCCCCCCTTCACCTGTCCCCGCCCTTGTCTCCGATCACGACCCAGCAGCAGCAGCAGGCAGCAGCGACGGCCATGCAGCTGAGTATGTTCATCATGGGCGGCGGCGGGAAGGACGGCAGTAGCCTGGTCAAGTGCAAGGAATCTCTTAGGGGAGGGTTGGAGGCGCGGTCCCTACAGATGGACCGGCTCTTCGTGTCCAGCTGAGCCCACACCGTGACAACTCTTGTGATCTCAACCACGCCAACAGTTGAAAGTACAATCAGGGACCAACAGGTGATCCAGACAAGGCGGTGACAACACCAGCCGCTGCCATGACAAGGGTCGGTTGTTTTACAAGCGTCTTACCGACCGAAGTCGCCCTATCACAACGGGAAAATTCTAAGATTATTTGTAAACAGTAATATTTATGTACATAATGAGCTATATTATATAATATAATATACCTATTAAGTGTTGTGGTATGAGTGTTTGGTCGTTTAGACGCGCGTGTGACCACCGTTTCTCTCATGGGATGAAGATCACTGCTGCTCTGATGCTGACCATTGCATGCCTCCTCGTACTTACCCACACCCCTAACCCTGTAGCACGTAGCTGTGGTTCTACTTGCCCGGCACGAACCGCCCTTTGGGACCAGGAATCGCATCGGTTCCGTCTATTCCAAGTCCCCTGGTGTGGTTCAGGGCTTGTGTACCTTAGCGACCATGGCGAGCTGGGGGTTAGCGTTGAGCAGCCAGTCTTTCTACAAGTGGACGAGTCGGAAGGCAGCGCACGGGTCGCCAGCGACTCGTGTGGGCGGTCGCGGGGGTTAAGTTGTGATAGACTCCCGCTGCTGCGTGGCTCTGGCACAGCGAAAATATCCCAGTTCACCTTATGACTGAAAAATAAACTTTTTCAGATGGTACAAAGTCAAGTTTTTAAAGTGTCTGTGATTTAATTCGGTCGCAGTATTTTATTTTCATTTCATGAAAAATGTTCTAGCTCAGTTTGTCATCAATGTTTAGCTTTAGCGACATTTTTTTGCTTTAAGCAATTCATGGGTAGTGATATAATTGTGTACATTTTTTCCTTGTTGGTGCATGCTTATCTTGTAATATATGCCTGTAAAAAGCCTATTTTGTTCCACAAAACGTCTAATTTTACTAGAAAATCGTTTTGTACAGTATAAATAAAATGTCCAATGCATTGAACTCCTTGGTTTTTCTTCACCACTCTTGGTTGAGGTCGCACCGGAGGCCAGTGGTGAAGTTAAGCTTGGTCAGAAGCTCCAACAGGCTGTGTAACTTGATTATAAAGAGCTCCCACTAATGTTAATGTTGTCTCACGTATACTGCAATGTGAGGTCTATTTTTTCATATAAAATCCTCAGTTTTTTCTTACAAAAAGCTAGTGAAGTGATGGATTACCAGAGAAAAAAAATCTTGAATATTTACCCCAAGTGATGATTGTACAAGTGTTGTGAAATTAGGGCGACTTGAATGTGAAGTGTTCCTGTCTGAGGAGCTCGGCTTGGACCTACATAGTAACTCATGAAATATCATCAAATCTGTGTTAATTTTTAAGTTGCTAGTCAATGAAATTATTATTTTTTTTTCTTATATTATCAGGTGAGTGGAAACTTATACCATGTGATATGAGTACAATTTATTTGAAAATATTATGAAGTGAGAAATACAGAGAACTTAACAAGAAAATATGGCTATAATTTTACACACAAAACCTTCTAAGTTGACCCCCCTTTAGAATTAATGATTTTATCATGTGAATCGAGTGCTTGGTGCTCAATACAGTACAGCTCAAACAGTAAGCATCACACTTGCTTATTAATTGTGGAATATACTGAGTGTTATGATCAATAGAAAACTGCCCTCTGAGCTGAAACCAAAGAAAAAGATATTTGTGCAGTGGTGTAAGACCTCACACTAATTTCATTCTTAAAACTTAACTTTTCAAAAACTTGAAGTAGCAATACCTTCTAAATAAGTTGGAATTACTTATACTAAAAACAACCAAAGATCAAGTACCTGTACAGTACTGAACCAGAAATATTTTAGTGTTGCTTTTAATTGTTTGCAGAAGTCTGAGGCAGCTTCATTCAAAGACTATATTTTATATACTGTATATATTTATATATAATATGATATATATATTTTTACTTGTTTATTTACACAGTATAAACAAAGAAAAATGTGAAAGTTAAGCCAAGATAACACAAAACTGTCAAGAAGAGCTAGATATATATATATATACAGTATATGAAGAACACAAGTCTTAACAAGGAGGCGAGGGCAGATGAAAGTTATAGAAGAGAAGAGTAAATATTTAAAACTTGAAAACACGACTAAATAATTAATATGAAGAAAAATATATAAACAAGCCAGAGTGGAGTTAGTTTGAAGTTCTTAAGATATAATGATGATAATAAAATTATGAAGTGAAAAAAAAGGACTTAGGATGGAAATTCAAAAGAGGGCTGTTGACACATGCCTTACAAAAGAGTGGTGAATTACAAAAAAGTTAATATATTCTTGTAAAAAAATTTATATATACTTAAAAGTGAGAAGCAGAGGTGTTATTAATGAAAACAAAAAGTTTAGTATTTTTCCCAGAGTAAATATATTAATATTCAAGAATAACTTAGAGTACTTGCCAATAATTGATTACCTTACACTTATAGTACCTACTGGTCTATGACAAAGTGATCTATAAAAGAATATTAAAGATACTGAAAATGAATACAAAAAAGTGGACAGCAAATCACAATATAAGGAATACAAATGTGAAAAATACAGAAATTAATTGCGATAACAGAAAATTGTGTAAAGGAATTGAAAACACATGGATAATTATATATACTCTTAACACAAATGAAGGAGAAGAGATTGGTGAAGAAAAGAGACGAACCAATTGATATATATGTAAAAAAAAATCGATACACAGTACAACACAGCGGCCATATTCCATCACACCACCACTAATCTCACCTTCACTTTCCGCCATTTTACATCTCTTCCCCACCACGTACACCATTCTTTATTATTTTTTACCTTTCCCTTCCTTTATCACCACCTCTTCTTTGATATTTCTTCTACTATTGATTTATTCTCCACCCACTATATTATTTATTATCTATCATCCCTTAATTATTTTATTTCCCCTTGACATTACCATCATTCATTTTATCTCATTATTACGCTTTTTATTCATTTTCTTTTCTCTAATTTTTTTTAACTTTCCTGTTTTGTCAACTTTCTGTTATTCATTACTATTATTTGTTCTCGTATTTTAGTACATTCACTATTTATTCATTTTCTATCTTGCATTCTTTCTACTCTTATATCCGTTAATTATTATTACTGATATTTTGGTCTGTCTGTCTGTCTGTCTCCCATTAACCTTATACCTCCACCACACCACCACCAACACTACCTCCACCACACCAACAACACTACTTCCACCACACCAACAACACTACTTCCACCACACCACCAACAACACTACCTCCACCACACCAACAACACTACTTCCACCACACCAACAACACTACTTCCACCACACCACCAACAACACTACCTCCACCACACCAACAACACTACTTCCACCACACCACCAACAACCACCACCTCACGCCTCCACCACACCACCACCACTACCGCCACACCACAACAATACCTCACCACACCACCACCAACACTTCCTCACACACCACCAACAACAATGCCTCTACCACACCACCAACAACTATCTCCACCACACCACCAACAACACCTCCACATCACCAACAACACTACACTCCACCACACCACCACACCTCCACCACACAACACACACACCACACAACAACACTACCTCCACCACCACCACTACCTCCACCACACCACCAACAACACTACCTCCACCACACCACCAACAACACTACCTCCACCACACCACAACACACCTCACCACACCACCAACAGCACTATCTCCACCACACCACCACCTCCACCACCCACTACCTCCACCACACCACCAACAACAATACTCCACCACACCACCAACAACACTCCACCACACCACACACATCCACACACAACAACCACACACCACACAACACTACCAACAACACACACCCACCAACAACACTACCTCACCACACACCACCAACACTACCTCCACCACACCACCAACAACACCACCCACCACCACCACCAACAACACTATCTCCACCCACACCACTACCAACCACTACCTCCCCACACCAACAACACCACCCACCACCACACCACCACCTCCACCACACCAACAACAACACTACCTCTACCACCACCACAACACTCCCCACCACACCACCACCACTAACACTACCTCCACCACACCACCAACAACACTACCTCCACCACACCAACAACACTACACCACACCACAACACTACCCCCACACACCACACAACACTACCCACACCACCAACAACACTACTCCACCACAACACCACCACCACACCACCACACACCACATCACCACCACTACCACCACCACCACCAACAACACTCCACCACCAACCACACCACACCACCACACACTACCTCCACCACACCACACACCACACTACTCCACCACACACCACCACCTCCACCACACCACCACCCCACCACCCACCACCAACACTACCTCCACCACACCACACCTCACCACACCACTACCCACCACACCACCAACAACACTACCTCCACCACACCACTACCTCCACCACACACCACCACACAACACACCTCCACCACACCACTACCTCCACCACACCACAACACTACTCCACCACACCACCACCACTACACCACACCACTATCTCCACCACCCACCACCACACCACCAACACACTCACCACCACACCACCAACAACACTACCTCCACCACACCACCACAACAACAACACACCTCCACCACACCACTACCTCCACCACACCAACAACAACACTATTTCCACCACACCTACCTCCACCACACCACCAACAGCACTATCTACCACCACCACACACCACCAACAACACTACCTCCACACCACCAACACACACCACACCACCACAACACCACTCCACCACACCACTACCTCCACCACACCACTACCTCCACCACACCACCAACAACCTCCACCCACCTACCTCCACCACACCACCAACAACACTACCTCCACCACACCACTACCTCCACCACACACCACACCACCAACAACACTACTCCACCACACCAACAACACTACCTCACCACACCAACAACAACACTATCTCCACCACCACTACCACACCACCTCACTACACCACACCACCAACACACACCTCCACCACACCAACAACTACCACCACTACCACCACACCAACACACTATTTCCACACCACTACCTCCCACACCCACCAACAGCACTATCTCCACCACACCACCAACAACACTACCTCCACCACACCACTACCTCCACCACACCACCAACAACACCTACCTCCACCACACCAACAACAACACTATCTCCACCACACCACATCTCCACCACACCATCTCCACACCACTACCACCACACCAACAACAACACACCACCACTACCACCACCACACCAACAGCACTATCTCCACCACACCACTACTCCACCACACACCAACAACACACCTCCACCACACCACCAACAACACTACCTCCACCACACCACCAACAACACCACCTCCACCCACACCACCACACCACCTCCACCACCTCCACCACACCACACCACTACCCACCACACACACCACACCACCACTCCACCCACACCACTACCTCCACCACACCACCACCCCACCACACCACCACCCACACCACCACCACCTCCACCACACCACTACCTCCACCACACACCTCCACCACACCACACACCACACCACACCCACAACAACTCCACCACACCACACCACCACCACTACCTACCACCACACCACCATTATGTCTATCTCTTTTATCCTTCTATAATTCTTTATGTTATCCACTAATGAATAATAATTTCAAGAGAGAGAGAGAGGGACAGAAAGGAGAGGACAGAAAGAGAGGAGGAAAGGGAGAGAGGGACAGAGAGAGAGAGAAGAGAGAGAGGAGAGGGCCAGAAAGAGAGAGAGAGGGACAGAAAGAGGAGAGAGGACGGAAGATAGAGAGAGGGAGAGAGGGACGGAAGAGAGGGAGAGAGAGAGGACAGAAGAAAGAGCTCTTCACACACACATACCCAGCGACCCCACACTCACTCTCTCTCTCTCTCTCTCACTCACACAGAGCGAACCCTCCCCCCTTACCTCTCCCAACACACCCACCCACAACTGGCCCCAAACACCCCCCTTCTGTCCCTCCCCAGTAACTCCACCTTTCTCCTCCCCTCCCCCTCTCCTCCTAAACACACCAGGTTTCCCCAACACACACAACATGGGCAGGTGTGTGGGTTGGGTACTGATGGTTACGCTGATCCTAACATGGGCAAGGGTGGGGTAGTTTTCCCTCTTTGGCAATCATGGGTGGGTGTTGTAAGCATGGGTGTTTATGGGCAATTTTATATGTGGTTGGAAATTTAGGCACGGTAAGGTTTAATTCGTGGGTTTAATGGTAGTGTAATGGGTTTTAGTGCGTATCTGTAATGGGGTTATGGCTTCCATGGGTGTAGCGGTGTGTGGGCAAAGCTGTTGTTACGAGACAGACAGACAGACAGGGAATAGCTAAAACAATACTAATAATACACACACACACACACACACACACGTCTTTGGTCAGCCATATTTAAATACCTTCCAGATATGTAAACAGAGACACTAGTGACACCTGGCGGGGATATTACGAGTTACTTTTTTTGTATAGTGAATATTAGAATGAGTAATTAGTTTTGTTTAGTATTATTTATCACTGAGGACCACTTTAACATGATGATGATTAAAGGAAATTATAATACTATGACAACCTTAATGCGGGTGATGATGATGATGGTGATGATGATGACGATGATGGTGATGATGACGATGATGATGATTAAAGGAAATTATAATACTATGACAACCTTAATGCGGGTGATGATGAGATGGTGATGATGGTGATGACGATGGTGATGAGGGTGATGATGATGATGATGAGGGTGATGATGATGATTAAAGGAAATTATAATACTATGACAACCTTAATGCGGGTGATGATGAGATGATGGTGATGATGATGATGATGACGATGATGATGATGAGGGTGATGATGATGATTAAAGGAAATTATAATACTATGACAACCTTAATGCGGGTGATGATGATGAGGGTGATGATGATGATTAAAGGAAATTATAATACTATTATGACAACCTAAATGCGGGTGATAGTGAGATGGTGATTAAAGGAAATTATACTATGACAACCTTCAACTGCAATTAATGATGATGATGACGATAGAAACTGAATTTATTGATGACAATGTTGGTGGCACACAACACTACACACATGTATACGGGTTTGGCCTGGTTATGTAAGTATGTCAGTCGGGAGCTAACTTTTACACATGTGTTACTTACATATGTGTGTGTTGTGCATATGTGTGTGTGTGGTGTGCATGTGTGTGTGGTGTGCATATGTGTGTGTGTGTGTGGTGTGCGTGTGTGTGTGTGGTGTGCATATGTGTGTGTGTGTGGTGTGCATATGTGTGTGTGTGTGTGGTGTGCATATGTGTGCGTGTGTGGTGTGTGGGTGTATGCGTGTCAATATCAACACTGAAGTACCCACCTCCCCAACGTCTGACACCTGAAGTAAAATATCCAGGTGGTTTCAGTTCATCAAACCAAGTACAGGTAACTACAGGTAGGTACAGTACATAATACAGGTACATAAAATATAAATGAAGATACAGGTTAATACAAGAGAGGAAAAGGAGAATATTTAACTTTGTATTCAGTCAATAATGGTGAAAAAATAAATAAACATTGGAAATAATAAACCCAAGTTGATCATAAATTAAATACCTTGAGATGAAATATTCAAGAGTTTGGTTTAATGAATTATCGGATTATTTCTCTTAACTTACGAGAAAAAAAATTATCGTAAGAATGTTGGAGAATGATGAAACAAACTGAAGGGTAAGAATGCTGGTTAATGTGTTGGTGGGTAGGTCCAAATTACCCTTTAATAGGCCAATGAGGTGGTTTAGGGGGGTCGTTCCGGGCCTCGTGCACCCTAAAAAAAAATAGCTCCCTTAATGATTTAACTTGGAGCTGGAATATCCTCTTCCTTCTTTTATTTTCTTCTTTGTTTTCTATTTTCTACTTTTATTCCTCCTCTTTCCTTTCTCTTTTCATCTTCTCTTTCTTCCCTTGTTGTTATTCCTCTTCTTCTTTATATTCCCCCCTTCTCTTTCTCCTTCTCATTTCCTTTCCAATCTTATACCTATCTCCCTCCTTTCTCCTCCTCCTCCTTCTTCCTCCTTTCCATTTACTTTATTCCTACCCTATCATTTATTTGCCTATTCCTTCTTTATTTAATTATATCTTCTCTCCTTTTCGCATCTTTTTTTTTTGCTAATCTTTATTGTCTTACGCATCTTGCTGTCATCATCATTTTCTCTTTCTCATTCGTCTTAATCTTCAGCAAAGTGGTTTTCTTGTGTGTGTGTGTCTGTATGTATGTGTATGTATGTATGTGTGTATGTATATCTTCCCTTAGTCAATAACACATTCGACCAATGACAAAAACAGAAACAAAGTGAACACGAACACTATCGACAAGGTTGAGTTAAGCGAGAGAATGAACAGAGATTTTCGTCCTCATGGCCAAAGAATCTTAGCACTTTATTGCCTTTACAATACATACACGAGAGCGTATTTCTTCCTTCTCCCCCCCTCTTCCTCATAACTTTTCCTCCTCCCTTTCTTCTGTCCCTTTCCCCCCGTCTTTACCTCTACCTATTGTGATCTTTTCCTTGTAAACCCTCCCTCCCTCCTCACCCCCCCCCGGTTCCCTCCCCACCTCCCTTCACCACTCCCAGTTGCTAGGGAGAGCTCAAACAAATACACTGCCTCAACGCTCTAGTCCAGAACGAAGCCCACACACACACACACACACACACACACACACACACACACACACACACACACACACACTTCGGCCAGAGGAATAATGGTAAATACGAGAAATTGATAATGCTCCTTCCCCCCCAAAAAATCCATCGAATTTTAAGAACACCATCACCATAGATCTTCACTATAAGGACAATTTTCATCACCATAGGATCTTCACTATAAGGACACCATCACCATAGATCTTCACTATATGACACCATCACCATAGGATCTTCAATTATAAGGACACCATCACCATAGAATCTTCTCAATTATAAGGACACCATCAAATACAGATCTTCACTATATGACACCATCACCATAGATCTTCACTATAAGGACAATTTCATCACCATAGATCTTCACTATAAGAACACCATCACCATAGATCTTCACTATAAGAACACCATCACCATAGATCTTCACTATAAGGACACCATCACCATTGATCTTCACTATAAGGACTCCATCACCATAGATCTTCACTATAAGAACACCATCACCATAGATCTTCACTATAAGGACTCCATCACCATAGATCTTCACTATAAGGACTCCATCACCATAGATCTTCACTATAAGGACACCATCACCATAGATCTTCACTATAAGGACACCATCACCATAGATCTTCACTATAAGGACACCATCACCATTGATCTTCACTATAAGGACTCCATCACCATAGATCTTCACTATAAGAACACCATCACCATAGATCTTCACTATAAGAACACCATCACCATAGATCTTCACTATAAGGACTCCATCACCATAGATCTTCACTATAAGAACACTATCACCATAGATCTTCACTATACCAGGCAATAGACAAACTCCCTTGACCAGAAGCCACTGTAGTAAGGAAGTTGTTTACTGAGACGAATTGACTCGAGTTAGGTTAAGTTGTCTAATGACGATAATGAAAATATAATCAGATGACAAATAGATCTATACCATGTACCTGTAATAGTCTGTCTACCTGGTTAAATACATACATACATGCATACATACATACATACATACCCATACACTACCTGGTCATATACATACATACATGATTAACTTAGCTATAGTCGATAACAAGATGGTCAGTCAGTCCACCATCTATCACCACGTCTATTACCTTCTCCTCCTCCTCCACTTTCTTCTTCTTTTCCATTTCTTTGTTTTGGTTGAGAAAGAGGAGGTGAGAGAAGATTAGAGGAAGGAGGAAGGAGATTAATAATTCACTTCCACAACCATTGACTTTATTGTACTCTCTCTCTCCAATAAATCCTCTCACCCCCCCATCCTTAGCAAAACACCTCCCCTCCTCCATCCTCCTACTCTCTCTCCTGCTCCGAAAAAATCCTTCCTCCTTTCTCTCTCCATTTTTATAAATTACCTTCCTTCCTACCTACCTCCTCACTGTCTCCTTCTCTCCATGACAACCCACCTACCCTACTTCTCACTCTTTCTCCCTCTCTATTCCTAGCAATCCTCCCCACCTCTCTCTTAACCACTCAATGGTATATCGTCCTGACATTATTGGAACATCCATCGTTCCACTGGAGGAAGCGTATCTTGTAAAGGTTCTCTCTCTCCACATATACATCCTCACTGCATTATACACATTTATCTATATTTCTCTATACTACTACTACTACCATCGCCATAACAACTAGCACACAACTACTACTACCACCGCCACCACAACTACTACTACCACCGCCACCACAACTACCACCATCACTCCTATTACCACTATTCGGAAATTATCACCAGCCGTACTTTCTTCTGACTAACACACTGCCCCCCCCCCACGTAGAGCCGGAGGATGTGACATTTTGTTCTGGACTAATTTCGTCACATCCCTTCCCTCCCTCCGTCACACCTCTTCCCTCCTTTCCCTTCGTCACACCCGTCCTTCCCTTATTTATCGTTTCCCATCTCATTCCTCTTTTCTTTCCCATTCTTCATATTTCTCCTTCATTCCCTCCCCCGCTCCCCTTCTCCCCTCCCACAGTCTTTATCCATCCTTTATCCGTCATTATTCTTCCTCCATCTTCGTAGAGGTCATCCATCACGCTCCTTCCTCCCACACAGGACAAAATTACTCGACCAGAAAGAAGGAAGCAGTAGAGGGGAGAGGGGGAGGGGAAGGAGATGGGAAGGATAGGATAATAGGAAGAAGTGGAACCAGAAAGGATAAAGGAGTAGGGAGAGACAGGAAGGATAAAGAAGGGAGAAACGGGAAGGATGAGGGAGAAGGGAGACAAAAAAGGATGGAAGGAAAAGGTAGAGACAGAAAGACTAAAGGAGGTGGTGACAGAAAGGATGAGGGAGGAGGGAGAGACGGGAAGGATAACCACAACCACATCCTTTGCTCCCACCCAAAATGGACTCACTATCAGGAGTCCTTATATCCTTCGTTAGGATTCCCAGATTCTCGTAAGACCAAAATTCCTCGTAAGTGATGACGTGTGAATCCACTTAACCACAAAAAATAACGCAAGAAACAAAAATGGCGTCAAATGTATACTGAGACTTTACCTGACCTAGATACCTTTATTATGATATGAGAGTAAATTGTCGTAAGGAATAATAATAATAATAATAATAAAAATAATAAAAAGAAAATAATAATGATCTATCCATCCACTTATTCACCCATCCATTCATCCATCACGGTGGTCCTTAGCAAATATTGACAGAGGTGATGTTGATATTAAGATGCAATATTGATAGGAAACGTTGCAGTGTTGAGAGTGATCTACTAACATCACCGTGTGTACACCTGAGGCTGATTCAACAAGTGGCGAGTGATTAGTGTACACAGGTGAGTCTTATCATTCGTTATCAATGTCATTTTATCGATTTGGGAGTTGGGAGGCAGGTGTGGATAAAGGTACAGGTATGTTACAGGTAAGAGTGTGGATACAGGTACAGGTGTGTTACAGGTAAGAGTGTGATTAAGGTACAGGTGTGTTACAGGGGTAAGAGCGTGGGGTACAGGTACAGGTGTGTTATAAGAGTGTGGGCACAGGTACAGGTGTGTTACAGGTAAAGAGTGTGGGGTACAGGTACAGGTGTGTTACAGGTAAGAGTGTGTGGGGTACAGGTACAGGTGTGTTACAGGTGAGAGTGTGGATACAGGCACAGGTGTGTTACAGGTAAGAGTGTGGATACAGGTGCAGGTGTGTTACAGGTAGGAGGTGGATACAGGTACAGGTGTTAAGCAGGTAAGAGTGTGTGGATACAGGTATGGTGTGTGTTACAGGTAAGAGGGTACAGGTACAGGTGTGTTACAGGTAAGGAGTGTGGATACAGGTACAGGTGTGTTACAGGTAAGAGGTGTGGGATACAGGTACAGTGTTACAGGTAGGAGTGTGTGGATAAAGGTACAGGTATGTTACAGGTAAGAGTGTGTTACAGGTAAGAGTGTGGATACAAGTAAGAGTGTGGATACAAGTACGAGTGAAGGTACAATGTAGATTGGTACAGGTAATAACAAAGGCAGATAACAGAAGAATGTGATAACTGGATGAGAAGGGTGGAAAAAGAGAATGACACACACACACACACACACACACACACACACACACACACACACACCATATACGGGCAACAGATGATCAAATATTTAAGGAAACATGACCACAAGGACCCATTAACCCCCCTCCTACCCCCTCCCCCTTACTCTACCTTCCTCCTCACCCCACCTCTCTTTCCAACCTCACCCTTACTCCTGTCCTCTCTGCACACACATTTACAACACAAACGCCAAGGAATAATGTAAATGGTATATATTTTTGTTTACATTATTTTTATTTCCGGTTGAGTGAGTTGTTTACGTCTTAACTTGGGAAGGCATGTGGGAGAATACATCAACTGAAGATTAGACACCCCAGCTTATTTAATTTGAAAATTTAGCTTACTAACGCTACCTAAGGGGTTTGGTTAAATTTGATTAATCTACAGATGCTTCTTCACTCTTCTTTTATTATTATTATTATTATTATTATTATTATTCAAGTTCACGTAACTCACACACACACACACACACACACACACACACACACACACACACACACACACCAACAAACAGACAGGGGAAACATTCTCCTCTTTCTCCTCTCTTCCCCACACACACCCCCCACCTGCTCACAAAGCTTGTGTGCCCGGATCACCTGCTGACGTACACACCACCCATTCAACCAGGACGATACACATGGGCACCTTACACACACAGGCACACACTTACACACACACGGGCATCACTTACACTTACACACAATCACAGACTCAGGGAATACGTACGTGCCCCCCCACACACACACACAATTTAGGGTACACTTATACGCACACAACCAGTCAACGTAAACGAACGCACACACATTCGTACACACGCACGCACACACACACACCCTGAAGCCTTAAGACCCCTCTCTTTCAAACTCTCTTTTCCTTTCTTTCAAACCTTTTCTTTCTTTCTTTCTTTTTTTTCTTCTTTACGCCTACTTCTTTTTTAACATTAAGAGAAATAATACATCTTAAAAAAAATATCAGTTTTGACGAGTTAGTACATTAGTGGTGCAGTACATCAGGACTTTAAAGTACACACTGTAATGTTTATATGTACATTTATTTATTACAGTTATCTCTATCACTTATACATATTTCTCTTAATTTCTCTTGTTGAATTTATCTCTCATATGTCTGTTTCGTTTATCTGTTAATCTTCCCTCCCCCCTCTCTGTCTATTTCAATCTCTCTCCCTCCTTTCTCCCTCATTTCCCACCCCTTTCTCTCTACACACACACATATTACATACATACATACATAAATTACATACACACATATATATACAAACATGTATACAATATAACACGACCATTTTCTGAGGCGCTACCAACAAGCTTTTTTTTAAATAATGTAATGTTTATTGATTCACTCCACGCTATGTACAGTTTGTCTTGCTCTTTACATTTGAGAAAGGGCATTACAACATCCTTGGTTAGTCAAACGGAGTTAATTTTTGCTGTAGCTCCCTCAAGGCAACACACTGAAACGCTATAAAGCTAACATGGGTTAACTCAAGCCTTGGGTGTAGCTTGACTTCATGGTGTAAAAAAGAGAATGTTTTTTTTTTTCCTATTTCTTGTAGATTTATTTCATTAATTCATTATTTTTTGTTTCATATATGATAATAAATTCAGATGGGTTAGTTTATAAAATATATATGTTTGTAAGTGAGAGTTCGCAGGGTACACCATTATAAACTAGTAATGTTCGTACGTCAGTCAGCGTTACCCTTGCTCCTCCCCCACCCAAGCCAAACATCAGCTGACGCCATCTTGTGCTGCCCAACTGATCGTACAACAGCTGAGTGGGTGTGTAGGGGGGGGGGGGGAACCATTGAATACATTACCCCGGTTAATATATATCACTTATCAACACCTACAATTCATCTCATAATTCTTTTTTATCTTAAACATCAAATAAAACCTGATATATGTCATTCATAATTAGTAAAAATCGGGTTAAATTGTGTGAAAATTGAAATAAGAACAATGATCATTTTATCCGGTTCCAACACGTAAATACACAGACCATCACGAGTAATGTACAGCGAATCATATAATTATTATAGTTTAACTTGAATCCGTTACTGATATTAATTCGTTTGACTTCTGTAGAGGTACATGATGGTTGCATCTACCTCTACATCTACTACAGATAGGTAGATGTTGGTTGTCTCTACATCTAAAATACGCTGACCCGCTATTTCTTTTGTCTGGTAAACAATATGAAGGTATAGTGTGTGTGTGTGTGTGTGTGTGTGTGTG